TTGGGTTTTGTTTTTCCACACAGCTATTATATTTTTAAGTTTTATCAGTGTTATTGTGTGCAGTTGTAGTTAATTCATTTTCATTCAGATAAAATATGACATTATTTGGCTATATCACGATTTGCTTATCTTTTCTACTATTAGTTTGCATTTGGTTTATTTTTAGCTTGGGCTGTAACAAATAGCACTGCTATGAGCATTCTTGTATATTTCTTCTGCATTCATATTCCCTCCATTACATAGCAACATTATTCTTTCAGATGATTAGATTGTGTAATCACTTTTCCACTCTAAAACGAAAAAAAAATTACTCTGTCCTCATAAGATATAAAGCAAAAATCTAAATTTCAGTTTATTATTTCACAGATTTACATCAAATGTTTATTGTGAGGTCTAATGGCATCATGGTAGATTGAAAGGCTTACAGTAATGAACAAAATGTCAATTCAACCATCAAAGAGGTTATAGCCTAGTGAGGGAGAAGATATGCATAAGAATAATTTGTAATAACTAATAGAAAGTTTGTAATAACTAATAGAAAGGTACATAAAAAAATATAATAGGAGTCCAAAAGAAGGAGTGACTACTTCATACTGAAAGGAATGAAAGAATGCCTTGGAGAGGAGGTGAAATTTAAATTTTACCCTCAAGGATGGGTAGGAATTTGGTTTGTATAGATAGGAAAAAGACATTCCATGGCAGAAAGACCAGCTCAAAGACACAGAGGAAAGTCAGCCAGGGACATATATATGAAATCTATAGTAATTACAGTTGGCCAGTGCATAAGATAATTAATAATATGAACAATGAGAACACATGGAAAGCAGGGAGGGTAGCATCATACACCAGGGCCTGTTGTGGGGTAGGGAGCCAGGGGAGGGAGAGCAGGGGGCAGGGGAATTGGGGAGGAATAACATTAGGAGAAATACCTAATATAGATGACAGGGGTCGAGATGGATGCAGCAAACCACCATGGCACGAGTATACCTATGTAACTATCCTGCACGTTCTGCACAGTTACCACAGAACTTAAAAGTATAATAAAAAAAATTTTTTTAAGAATTTTTTTTCACTTATTTTTTCCATAAATATTTAACATCTGAAAAGTAGGCTCGGGTCAATTATAATAATGGACAGGCAAAAAACAGATATGCTCTCTTGTCTTTGTGGAGATTACAGCTTAGGCAGGGAAACAAACATTAATCAAATAACCACATAAACATGCAAAATTGAGTCTTTGACAAATGCTTTGAAGAAAATACAAAATGAATGTAATAACAGCAGGATTCGTTCTAGTCACAGAGAACAAAATAATTTTTTAAGGAAAGGATATCTGAAGTGACAGATAGATGAAAAGCTAACAGGAAACTAGTTGAAATAGGGGAGGGAAGAGCATTCCAGGTAGAAGAAATAGCTGTGCAAAGAGCCTATGGCTATGAGGAACACAGAGTGTGAAGAGCATTTGAGAGACAGTGAGTGAAAGGTCAGGCCAAGGTTTGAGACTTTAAATGCCAAGCAGAGACAATTCTTCCTAGACTATGTGAGCTCCCTGAGGTCAGAGAACCTATCTTATTCAATTCTGTGCCAGACATAACATAGCATCTGATATGGAGTAGATGCCCAAAACATTTGCTGAATTGACTTGAGTGTAGATTTTATTTTGTAGCTAATAGAAGCCACTGAAAAAAAATTGGGGTGGGGAATAAGGTGGGGATCAAGTAAATTATAATAGGCTCTGGTTAGTGCTCGTAAGAAAAGTATGTAGGCCGGGTGCAGTGGCCCACACCTGTAATCCCAGCACTTTGGGAGGCTGAGGTGGGCAGGTCACAAGGTCAGGAGAGTAAGACCATCCTGGCCAACACCATGAAACCCCATCTCTACTAAAAGTATAAAAAATTATACTGGGCATGGTGGTATGCGCCTGTAGTCCCAGTTACTTGGGAGGCTGAGGCAGGAGAATCACTTGAACCCAGGAGGTGGAGGTTGCAGTGAGCCGAGATCACCCACTGCACTCCAGCCTGGTGATGGAGCCAGACTCCCTCTCAAAAAACAAACAAACAAAAAAATTGGCTATTTTATTTTTCTTTCTAGGGTGAAATTGTCATGGAGCCTGGATATTTCAGGTTCATACGTATGCATGATCAGTGTCCCACTGTGGTCGAAAAACATCAGTGGACTTGGTGAACTTGGCTTCCTGGGGCAGCTGTATTTATTAACAAGCACACTGCCTGATTCTTATTTTCAAGAACGTTTGAGAAACCCTAGTATAGAGAACATTCTAGGGGAAATGAAAGGCATGTGCAAAAGTATGAATACATTACAGAACTAAAAGGCATATTCAGGAAATGGTTGGAGAGCAGGGAGTCCATGAGGAAGTGGTTATTGCTGAGGCTGGAGAGAGGGATGGAGGCCAGATTGTGGAAAGGCTTATTAGGCAAGCAAAGTAATCTTGTGAATAATGGGGAACCAATGGAATATCTTAGGCAAGATACTGTTTTGAAGGAAAAGATAACCAGAGAAATCAAAGAGTTCAGGTTTAAGAGACATCCTTTTTTTTCTTTTTGAGATGGAGTTTTCACTCTTGTTGCCCACGCTGGAGTGCAATGGCACTGTCTCAGCTCACTGCAACCTCTGCCTCCTGGGTTCAAGCGATTCTCCTGCCTCAGCCTCCCCAGTAGCTGGGATTACAGGCATGCACCACCACGCCCAGCTAATTTTGTATTCTTAGTAGAAATGAGGTTTCTCCATGTTGGTCAGGCTGGTCTCAAACTCCCAACCTCAGGTGATCCACCCACCTTGGCCTCCCAAAGTGCTGGGATTACAGGCATGAGCCACCAGGCCAGCCCTAAGTGACATTTCTGAGGGAGAATTGATAGTGTTTAATGGCCACTTCCACAAGAAGTAAGAAAGGAGAGGTGGAGGATGAATCTAAGATAGGTTGAATGAAACAAGTATGTGTTAGGCTGCCTTTGCTACAAAGGGATCCCATTTTGGACTTAACACACCATGACAAATGACTGTACACAGATAGATCAATCAGATAGTTGGAAATAGCTACCTCATGTTTGGTCAAATGTTCTCAGGGCTGAGAATATGGGTTATGAGAGTCTTTAATATGGAAGCTGTGAGAATTTCACTTGTATGAGGATGTAAATTGGTAAGTGGACCAAAGACATAAACAGAGTGAAATAGATATGTTTAAGTAGCACCTAGAGAAGAAATCAAGCTAAGGAGACTAAACAGAGATAGCAGAGGTAACAACTGCAGTCTTGACTACTCTAAATCATCAGATGTTCCATGAGGTATTCAAGAACTGAAAAAGTAAACAGAGATCCATAATGATTGGACTGATAGAACATATATTTGCCATCTATCTAGAGCATTCCAAGCACCTAGTAAAATTCTAGAAAGCCTGTTATTGAATGGCTTGATCAACTTAAATAAACATAAAATCTAGGTAAGCCACTGATCCCTAGATGCAAGAACACCAGAAGTCTTTAGAACTTGCATTTTTTTGTCCTGGTTCATCCACTAATTTGAGCCAATCATTTAACGTCTACAAATTGTTTTTCTCCTCTTAATAAAAGAAAAGCTATGGAGGCTGGGATTGTCAGATGACATCATAGGTTGCTTCCAGCTTTAAAATCTAAAGTCTCCAGAGACCCAAGCAATTCTGAGAGGGAAATCTTAAATAGACTCAAGAGCAAATGCTGAAGTAAGGATTCCTGTTTCCCAGTGTCACCCTTCCCCCTTCCTCAATGATTACTGATTGGGATTCCCAAAAGTAAATAGGAGGCATAGAACACTTCTCTAGTTCCTGTCATGCGTGCAGGTGATTGTCACCCATTCACTCTGAATGGTGCCTGGCATCACATTGGTGGAATGGCATTCATGTGTACCCCACCCAGAAGAGCCTCTCCTTCAGTACCTTTGCAGTGGCTCACCAGGCACTTGATACTCCCCTTACATCCCAGTGGAATGCCATAAGCTTTCTTCAGGTAGTTACGTTAAATGAATCTGGGTTCTCTGAGGAACTCTGTCAGGTTCAGTACACATTCAAGGGCTCAGGAGTTAAGACGTTTTAAAGAAAAAAAGAGTTTTTTTCTCTCTATCAGAATTTTAAAGCAAGAAAAAAGTAACAAGATAAAGAACTATTTACTTTTTAAAAAACCTGATGACTGTTTTGCAAGGGGCATGCATGTTACACTATACAATCAAGTAAAACTGGCTGAGGGACGGCTCAGGAATTGTATAACCCATGTCTGTCTCTTTTGCTTGATGACTGCAACACTGTGTGCCGGGCACTGTGCTGGTTTCTGGAGTTACATTACTTTTTTAAAAAAATAAATAAAAGACAATTCCTGTAAACCCGCTGCGGATTTTCGTGGCCGCACGCAGGAAACTGCGGTACGCAATCTTTCAGAATGGCAGGTGAGTCTTTCTTTTTTCTTTTTTTTTTTTTTTTTCTCCCCCCGAGACGGAGTTTCACTCTTGCCGCCCAAGCTGGAGTGAAATGGCGCGATCTCGGTTCACCGTACCCTCCGCCTCCCGGGTTCAAGCGATTCTCCGGCCTCAGCCGCCCGAGTAGCTCGGACTACAAGGCAGCCATGCGCCACCAAGACCGGCTCATTTTACATTTTTAGTAGAGACGGGCTTTCTCCATGTTGGTCAAGCTGCTGTCGAACTACTGACCTCAGGTGTTCCGCCCGCCTCGACCTCCCAAGGGGCATCACAGGCGTGAGCAACCGCGCCCGGCTGCAGGTGAGTATTTCTTCAAGGACTGGGATGGACGCCTTCGGCTCCGACTAAAACACTCACTGAGAAGCCAGCCGAGGCTACAGCACCGAGGCCACAGGGAACAGCTGACGTCCGGGGCCCGCCCCCACCGGGGAACAGCTGACTTCCGGGGCCCGCCCCCACCCGTGACTCCGCCCCCGGGTCCGCCGCTCTCCCGGCAGGCGCCGCGCGCGCACGTTGCCTCGCTGGGCTGTGCCCCGCCCCGTGTGGCGCCGGAGAGATGGCGGAGTTGGACATTGGGCAGCGCTGTCAGGTGGAGCACTGCCGGCAGCGAGGTGATCGGGGAGTCCCCAGCCCGCATCCCCGGCCGCGGGTGACAGGAGCTCCGCTTTGGCTCCGCGGATGGTGGCGGCGGGTGAGGGGAGGCTACAAGGCTGGGCAGAGCCTGAGGAGCGGGGTGGGAGCGTTTCTTCTGGTCTGCAGTGAGGTCTGTTGGTGCGTGTTTTTCTTGGCCGTGAGCCTTTGAAATGACATGTGGTCTCCCTGGAAGGGAGCCATGTAATTTCTGGAAACGTACCTTGCAGTGTTCATTTTGGTTTTCGAGTGTGCCGTGTCCGAGATGCGCACGGAGCCCACTGCTGGGTCGCGTGGCGCACACTTACTCCGCTGAGCGCGGGGATGGGGACGCGTAGGCCTGGTCTGGGGGAGTTCTCCTTTGGCTTTGCACTGCGACCTGCAGCCAACCACTTTCCCAAACTTTTTGTTTACTTACCTGTTACTTAGTTGTCAGAAGGAGTTGGGCGAGATCCACTCTGCCAACTGGTGTTCCGGTGCAGGTGTGTCCCGCAGAAGGCCCTTCCTTAGCTTATTATTGTTTGAACAAACATTTACAAATCATTGATTTTGATGCTTGGACCACATAAGGGTGTAAACTACAGTCTTTTACACAGAAGACCATTCCAACTAGTAAGCTGCATTTAGAGAGAATTAATTATATGGCGGTGGGCTCTCATTGCACTGAGAGACCTTGGGATATACCTAGTCCAAGGTAATGTGGCACTGGCTTCAATATATCATACACCTGGCAAAGGCAAGTTTTTGAAGCATTAGAACCACACAGACTGCTCAGTATTTGCTACTAGTTTTCACTCCAAGTGTGTGTCATATGTAATGACACAAACTACATAAAGTAGCAAACAGGTTTCATCTCCCAATTTAACTCCAGTCATTGATATCAAGTGCCTGAATCACTGTGTCAAGGACTCTGAGGTTTAGCCCAGTTTCATAGTGATGTCTGCTGTGGACATGTGTGACAGGACAAGTGACACAATCCCTGCTAGGTTCTTGTTAGCCCTCTATGTATGTGTCTTTCACTACTGGTTGTGATCACAATCCGTGTGATTCAGAGTGACTTTTTTCATGTAGAAGCTGAGCCATGTGGGTTTCGACCGTAATTTATGTATATCCGGTATGCCTGATCCCCCACTAGAGAGTCCAATACACATATGGCATTCATGACATGGCTCATTTTCCTTTCTAGCTATACATGTGTTTAGTGTCAATAACTGAGATGAGGCCAGGCCTATCTGTTTGGGACTAGTGGAAACCAGTTAAGATTTAGACTATATCAAGTGTATATCCTAAATTTTATCTACCTTCTGGAGGGATTTAAGGATGGTATCAGGTGCTGAGATATTGTCTTGACTTAACTCTTTGCCCTGGGTCCTTCTAATTTGTGTCTAATACTTTATTATCAAAAGTCTCAAAATAGTGAGCATCTCTACCGTGTCACTGCAGTATTGTTCTTTGTTTTGTTTTTTGATGGAGTCTGGGTCTGTTGCCCAGGCTGGAGTTCAGTGGTGCAATCTCAGCTCACTGCAGCCTTCACCTCTTGAGTTCAAGTGATTCTTCTGCCTCAGCCACCTGAGTAGCTGGAATTTATGGGCATGCACCACCATGCCCAGCTAATTTTTTTGTTTTGTTTTAGTAGAGGCAGGGTTTCTCCATTGGCCAGGCTGGTCTTGAACTCTTGACCTCAGGTGATTCGCCTGCCTCAGCCTCCCAAAATGCTGGCATTACAGGCATGAACCACCATGCCCAGCCCCTGGCAATATTGTTCTGAGTTGAATATACTCAAAAGAAGTTAATTGTTGTATTATTCTTACTAATTATAGTTACTGTATTACTATTCTGATCTTTTACATATATCTCATTTGGTTTTTGTAATTACCTTGTGAGATCAGTGTAGCATACAGCACAGATACAGATATAGATATATTCATTCACACATGCATACACACACATATACATATATACACAGGAAAGATGTGTTTATATGTTTATATCTATCTGCCTCTGTATCTACCTGTCTGTATCTTTCTATTTTTGTTACTCAGTAAGAGCTTTGCTTTTGTATGTGTTTATTTACATACATATATAGAAACACATACATATAATTTAGGTAAGTGTACTATGTATTACATCAAATATATATATTTGAAATTCCATAAATCTTATAGATGTATATATAAATATAAATGTATTTGAATAGTCAAGCTTTGGATATATATATATATATATATATATATATATATATGTTCATACAGGTATATATTAGTACACAGATATAAGTATATAAATAAATATATTGGAGATATATATACGTATATATGTATATATATATATATATGCACATATCTGCAAAGTTTTACTGTTAAGTAACTTGCCTGGCATTGTTAGATTAGTAAGCAGTGGAATCAGAACTGAATCCTAGGTTTTTAACTGCAAATGCGGAATTTTTGCAGTATACAGTCATCAAAAACAACACCTAGTAAATCTGGAAAACAAAACAAAAAAGAAAAAGAAAACCACTAGAACTTATTTTTGTCTGATTTAGTAAAGTTACAAGTAACATCTATTAATACCTTCTGTTAATCCAGTTAATTTCTGTCACAGTTATTGAAGTTGTGGTTACTTTTGTTAGAGTGGTTACATAGTGCTTGCTACACTAGAATGTTAGTCAAAATGGGAAGTTTTTCCATAGAGGTTATGTTCTTGCTTAAGAAAACTAAATCGAAGTCAGATACTGACCAGTACATATATTTACTCTCAATTTTAGATTTTCTTCCATTTATATGTGGTGATTGTTCAGGAATATTTTGGTAAGTTGTTTTTATGCAGGATTTGGGAGTAACTTTAGTGTTTAATAATATAGAGTTATTTCTGAAAAGTAGAATGATTTAAAATAATTGTTACTTTAGCCATTGATTATTGATATTCATTAAAGTAATAGGCTCTGATTACTTTTTTGTATATGTGACTAATTCTTAATCTTCCAAAAGTGGAGTTATATATTTGAATTTTATATTAAAGTTGCATTTTAGTCTTTTAATTACAAGGAGAAAATAATATTTGCAATATAAATATTATAGTAAAAAATCTAGCTATAATTATTACTCTTTAATTAATAAAATAAAAAGAGCCCAACCTATAAATGCCTTAAAACAGGAATCACAGCATTTGACTACATCACATACCAAGTAAAACCTGGGAATTAACCAAGAAGTTTGGAAAATGAGTTTTCCTTACAATTAAACTTTAAAATGTCAAGCATTTAATTTATGAAATAGAGCACTGAAAGAATAAATTCTTTTCAGAATGTAATTCAAAATGATTTCTTGGAAATAAATAAAAGTAATATATGTTTTTAAATTATTCGAAATTAGAGCACTCTTCACGTTTTACTACTGATGATCTTTTAGAAATAAAAAGAACTGAAAGATTTGTTTATATTTTCATGTACCCTAAAGCATTCAAAGTCAATGTAAGTTAGGGTGGTGAATTGTTTTTACTCATATTTATGTGGATCATTTGTGTTTTAAAACTTTCGAGACTATAGATGCTCCACCTTTATCTGACATTTCAGTTTTTTCTCATATTCAAAGTTATTAACACATAATGCTTTAAGCATAATGTGTCTTAAGAATACTGAACATGAAAATACCACAAATTACTGCAGTTATCTTTAAGTATGTTATTTAAATAAATGTTTATTGTTATTTTTTAAGCCTTGAACACAGAAGCAGGGAGTCTCATGGTTGTCCTGAGGTATGTTAATATTTTTCCAATCTGATAAAATGTATTTATATTTACGTACTTTCATTCAGAATTTGATTAGATTTAAAGCCAGTCAGTATCACAGAGATTAAGGTTTGGCATACTAAACTGATTATGTAAAGAGTCTTTTGCTTCATTTATATTATTTTTCTTTGTTTGAAAGAAAAATTGTTTTACTTGGTATTTGTAAATTTTTATCCCATTTCTTATTCCTCAACATTTCTGCTTAGGTAGCACACTTACAGCATAAGGCTATATATTTATTTGTTTGTATGTTTTGTTATGTTTCGAGACAAAGTTTCGGTCTTATCGCCCAGGCTGGAGTGCAATGGCAGGATCTCAGCTCACTGCAACCGCTGTCTACCTCCTGTGTTCAAGCGATTCTTCTGCCTCAGCCCCTCATGTAGCTGGGCGTACAGGCGTGCGCCACCACGCCCAGCTAATTTTTGTGTTTTTAGTAGAGGTGGGGTTTCACTGTGTTGGCTAGGCTGGTCTTGAGGGAATGTGTTTTTTTTCCAGGTTCATGAGGGGGCGTAGTTTTAAGGGCAAGAACTTTCTAGCTCCATTCCCTCCTTCCATTTTTTTTTTTTCTATCCAGGAGATTTAACGGTTTATGTTTAAATTTTGCTGATGCGAGAAGAAACTAAAAGTTAATTACTCCAGCAGAAGTTTAAAGGGACTCTTTTCATTGGCCAAAGGAAGTTGGGAAGGTGGGAATTTCTTCTATGATAAATTGCTCTGCTTCTTTACCCACGCTGGATTTCCAACAATTAATGCCCCTTTTCCAATAAAAGTTAAATTTTCCTGTTCAGAAGGGGGAATGAGGGAATGTGTTCTCTTTCCGGGTCCATGAGGGGGTGTAGTTTTAAGGGCAAGAAGGTCCCAGTGCCATGCGCCCCCTCCTATCTCTCTCCATCCAGGAGATTTAATCATTTATGTTTCAATTTCCCCAGCACGGGAAGAAACTAAAAGTCAGTCACTCCAGTGGAAGTTTAAAGGAACATCTTTCATTGTCCAAAGGAACTGGGAAGGTGGGAATTTCTCCCAGGATAAATTCCCTGCTCCTTCATCCACACTGGATTTCCAACTCTCTGAAATCCCCTCCCACATGGTGGGAGCTCCTTCTGGGACTTCCCCTCTGGAATCCCCTTTCACACTCTTGGTGGAAGTCTTTCTCTTCTTCTCCTTTCCTTCTCTTTTCTCTACCTAAATAAAATCACCTTTCTGCAACACTTCTTGGGTCCAATATTTACTTTTACAAGCATATGGCACACCTGCAATGGTCCCAGTGCTTATTCCTTAAAAGGTTGAAGGCCAAGAACCCACAGCCTTCTCCTAGGGAAGCTGTGCCTCACCAACACCCAAAAAAACACCCAGTTACAGTCTCAAACTCCTGACCTTGGCTGATCCACCTGCCTCGGCCTCCCAAAGTGCTGGGATTACAGGTATGAACCACCACTCCTGGCCAAGGCTGTCTATTTATAAATATACACTGAAGTGAATGTCCTCCTTATATATTCCCTCCAGTTCACTGTGTCCTTTACTGTTGTGTTCATTTTCATTGATGCCTGCTGACAGGATCTGTGGTAGTAAATCATTCTGGTTCAGTAAGCCTAAGACCACCGGGAACAAATCTATAGTTTAATAAAATTCCTACCCTATTTTGCACAAATCATAATTTAAGAAAGATCTGGCAGATAGGAGTCAAAATATTACCCCTATTACTGGTAAAGATAAGTTGAATGATAAAGCTCAGCATAGAGCCAAATGGGTTTGCATAGAAAATCCAGAATTAAGCAGACTTGCCCAGCAGTCATGGCAGTATTGGATCAGGTTAGTCTTTCTCCCTGAAGGCAGTTCAATTCCAAGAGGAAGAGAGAAAGCTAAGCCCACCATGCCCAATGTGCTCTACACTTTTCAGTGGACATTTATTCCTGCCCATAATTTACCAAGTGCCTTACCAAGGATTTTCACATCTGTTCTCTCAGTTATAGAAAGTTAAAGTTACATGAGGTTCTGTTGAAATCTGATTCTTTCAAGTGTAAATGATCAGTCAAAATCGGACTCTTTGAAGTTTACGTGATCTATTTGAGGAACATTAAAATTACCTAGCATGTTGATTTTGTGCAGCATTAATTGGAGGAAATCTTTAGTCATACAATAAAACTTACTGATGTTTCTTATAGTTTTTAAATCTATCCTGTGTTTTCTTTTTTCTTAGGATATAATTTGATTTCTCTGAATGTCTCTCAGATAATTAGATCTCATTAATTAAATACTGAAATATAATTAGACCATTGCTACAAGTTCAAAAAGATACTTAATTACAACAAGATGTGACTATTATTTATAAAAAGGAATTCACTTTGGTTGTAGTTTTCAAGCAATTATTTCCCTAAGTTTACTCATCTTTAGAAACCTGCTTTCTTAATGCCCAGAATAACCTGGCTGATCTTGATCTTGGTGTTTTTTTTTTAGTCTTTCAAAATCTTTTCTTCCTGTAATGGAGTATTTGCTGGTAATAAAAATATAAAATAAGGCATAGAGAATAATATATGATTATGAAAACTGTCTTTAACCTTTTATCTCATGAATAAATAAATAATTTTTAAGTGTTTTATTCTCTGAGTTAAGTGCTTCATCCCCTAAAATTAGTGTGGAAAGTAGGTTGACTTGCCATTTGATGGTTGATGAGATAATTACCTGAGCATGTTATAGGGGCATCTTTGCGTGAGACTGTTACAAAGCGGGTTAATATTGTAGAGAGTAATTAAATAGTCATTTTAACTTGACTTAGAAGATAAACACACCACAGTAGGAAAATTATGAAAATGTAGAGCAGTCAGCATAGTAATCATTTGTCACACAAAATATTCGTTACGTTATAATCTTTATGTGAGAGTAAGTAACTTGTTCTAATAAGTTTAAGCAAAAATAATATGAATGCTGCCTTCTAGAATGGACATATTTATTTGGTTTTGGTCTGAAATGTAATACATTTCCTCCTTTTTGCATTTTCAGGTGACTGCAATCAATGAGAGGCCAAAGACAGATCAACATACATCTTACCCGTGCTCATTCAAAGACTGTGCTGAAAGAGAACTTGTGGCAGTTATATGTCCTTATTGTGAGAAGAATTTTTGTCTGAGGTAATTGCTTAACTGTTCAAACTTTGTATATCTGTTTAAGTCATATACAAATACATGAACTAGTGTCACTTTTCTGTTCCTCATAGACACCGTCATCAGTCAGATCATGAGTGTGAAAAACTGGAAATCCCAAAGCCTCGAATGGCTGCCACTCAGAAACTTGTTAAAGACATTATTGGTAAATATCTACAAAGCCCATTTTTTTTTTTTTTTTTTTTTTGCTTTCCTAGTTCCAGAGCTCTTGCTTTTTATGTCTGCTTTTCAGTTATGGGAGGCATCATTAATAGCCCCAGTGGTATTCGTATTAACTTGTATTTTGATGATATTCTTGTGACAGTATTTCTTACAAGGTCTACCTGACCAATGAAAATGTGAAAATTATTTGGAAGTACTCCACCATAAATATTTATCTCTTTTGCTGAGCCACCTAGATTAGCTAGTTAACCATCCAGGCTAGAAGTGGTATTCATGAGATTGAAGTAGTCAGTTGCTTTCTCTATAGACTGAACTCTAAGCCTAATCAGCTGTGCTGTGAATGCTACTGCTAATTAGAGATACCAGGAAAGAATGTATCTGTGATGTAAATCAGTCTCTCTGTTAGTATGTTAGCTCAGAGTTTTTATCTCATATTAAGGATAGTACCTTTATTAAAATCTTGCATAACCAATTTTTAAGGTTGTCTGTAGAAGCATTAATGACTGCTTTAGGTTAGCTAGGCTTAAGTTCGAAAGAAGAACATTTTAGTGAATTTTTTGATGTGGAGATTGCTTGGATCAATCTCAATGATATTTTTCCATTGACCATGTAAATATAATACCTGTACAATGAATGTGGTCTCTATATATCTCTCTTGTGTGTAATTTTTTTTCTTTTTGAGACCGAGTCTCATTCTGTCACCCAGGCTGGAGTGCAGTGGCATAATCTTGGCTCACTGCAACCTCCACCTTCCGAGTTCAAGAAATTTTCTGTCTCAGCCTCCCCAGTAGCTGAGATTACAAGTACCCACAACCAAGCCTGGCTAATTTTTCGTATTTTTACTATAGATGGGATTTCACCATCCTGGCCAGGCTGGTCTTGAACTCGTGACCTTGCGATCCACCCAGCTCAGCCTCCCAAAGTTTTGGAATTACAAGTGTGAGCCACTGTGCCCGGCCATGTGTAATTTATATATGTTTCAGGGTCATAATTAATAAATGCTATATAATAAAACTCTACTTGTAATATGAAAGTTTTATGTGATTACATGCTTACACTTAATTCTTAGATTCCAAGACAGAAGAAACAGCAAGTAAACGACGAAAAGGTGCCAAAAATAGTAAAACAGCTGCAAAGGTTGCATTGATGAAATTAAAGATGCATGCTGATGGCGATAAGTCATTGCCACAGGTTAGTCTTAGAGATTTTTAAAAACACAAAAACTTCAAATATAGTTGAAGTCCTCTTTGTATTCCTCGTTCCCATCAATTAACAACTAACTTAAACCTGGTATGTATCATTTTTGATATTGCATGGTATATGTCTGCATAAATAATACATAGTTTTGTGAGTTTTTTTGCTTTGCAGTTATGGCAGTGAACCATATATATCCTTCTTCTAGTTGATTTTTTTTTCCCCAGTTGGCATGTGCTGTTAACATTTATCCATGCTGAGACATTTATTCTTACTCATTTGTTTTGATAGCTGCACATTATTTCATAGTATTAATATACCCCAATTTATCCTTTTTTTTTTTTTTTTTTGAGAAGGAGTTCCACTCTTGTTACCCAGGCTGGAGTGCAATGGTGCGATCTCGGCTTACCGAGATCCTCCGCCTCCTGGGTTCAGGCAATTCTCCTGCCTCAGTCTCCTGAGTAGCTGGGATTACAGGCACGCGCCACCATGCCCAGCTAATTTTTTTTTTTGTATTTTCAGTAGAGACGGGGTTTCACCATGTTGACCAGGATGGTCTCGATCTCTTGACCTCGTGATCCACCCACCTCGGCTTCCCAAAGTGCTGGGATTACAGGCTTGAGCCACCGCACCTGGCCATTTATTCTCTTAATAAACAAAATTCAGATTTTTTCAATTTTTGCTATTATAAACTGTCTATGGTTACCATCCTTGTGTATATGTAGAAGAATTTCTCTAGGACTATTCCTTTAGAACTTCACAATGTCAGTTATTTTATATAACAACCCAATATATATACAGTACCTTAACACTGTTTAGTTGCGTGGTACTTACCGTTAATATGTGTTATATATTATGATATTTTTATTTTCTACTTTAAAGACTGTTAGTCAAACCTATTAGGTTGATTTTCAACCCTTGATGGATTGAGACTACCAGTTAAAAAAATGCTACTTTAGGGAATATACCTAGAAATAGAAAACCTGGTTTATGGACTTTGCTGATCTTCAGCTTTACTACATGTGGGCAGCTTCCTGTTGTCAGTGGTTGTATCCATTTGTCTCTTTCTAGTAGTGCTTTCAACCATGTCTATTTTTGATCATTTATTCCTTCATAAAAATTTTAGGATCACTTTGCTGTATTCTATGAAATTACGATTTTGATAGAAATAATGCTGAATTTTAGATTAGAGACAGTTGACATCTTTAGAGTTTTGACTCTTCTCATCTACGTCTGTTGCATATCTTTCCAACTTTCTTTCTTTTCTTTTATGTGTAATTATAGAAGTAAGATTTTATAATGCTTACCATGAGTATTTACGTACCTTTTCTTAGTTTTATTCTTAGGCTTATTATAATTTTTGCTGTCATTATAAATAATACCTTTTTTAAAACATCACATTTTCTCTGGGCTCGGTGGCTCATGCCTATAAGCCCAGCACTTTGGGAGGCCGAGGCAGGCAGATCACGAGGTCAGGAGATTGAGACCATCCTGACCAACATGGTGAAACCCCATCTCTACTAAAAATCCAAAAATGCTGGGTGTGGTGGTGCATGCCTGTAGTTCCAACTACCCGCAAGGCTGAGACACAAGAATCACTTGAACCCAGGTGATTACAGTGAGTGGAGGTTGCAGTGAGCCAAGATCATGCCATTGCACTCCAGCCTGGTGACAGAGTGAGACTCAGTCTCAAAAAAATAAAAAATTACATTTTCCCAATTATTGTTGGTTGATGTTATATGTCCTACTATTCAGCAAATAAATTCCTAATAGTTCCCATATTCTGTAGATTTTCTGGGCTATTTTCTGTGTAGTCATATCTTCTGCAAATGCCAATTTTTGTGGATTTTTTTCTGCAGATTTTTTTCTTCTTTTCTTTGTATTATCATTTTTTGTCTTAATGTTGAGATCTTCAGAACAATGTTGAATAATATGGGCAATAGAAGGACTCTTCATGTTTCTGACTTTAATGCAAATGTGTCTGAAGTTTCATCAAGTATTAGATATACTGTAAAAATGAGTAGCCTTTTTCATGATACATTTTTTTCTATTCCTAGTTTGCTAGGAATTTATATTATGAATGGATATTAAACTTTACTGTAAATTTTTTTCTTACGTCAAGTAAGATCATTTTTTCATCATCAATGTAATAACTTTTATTAATCAGTTTTTCTGTCATTAGGTCATCAAATATTCCAGGATAAATCACTTGACTCTGGTATATAATTCTTTAAAATGCACTGATAAATTGATTTGCTAACATACTCTTTAGTGTGTGTTAGTGACATTAATAGCAAGATTATGCTCGAAAATTAGTTGAGTAGCTTTCCCTCTTCCATTCTTTGAGGTAGTTGTAGAGGGTGGGAATTATTTGTTCTCGAAGGTTTGGTAACACTTAGTTGTAATTCTTGGAGAATTTATAATACCATTCCAATGTGTTACATCTTGGTTTATCTGGATAATCTATTTCTTCTGAAGTCAATTTTGGTAAATATTTTTCCAAAATATTATTTGATGTAGATTTTTCAGTTTATTGTTACCAAGTTGTTCCAGTTATTCTTGTTATACTTCAGAATCTCTATGTGCCTTTTGTCATTCTACTTCTTTCTTAATATTTTTCATTTGTACTTTTCCCTTTTCCCTTTTTCCTTTTAGACAGAAAAGCTAGAAGTTTATCCTTATTTTTTCTTAGTGTTTTCAAATAACCATGATTTGGATTTAAAGACTTCCATGTTTTGTTTTTTGTTTCACTAATTTTTGCTTTTCTGTTATTTCCTTCTGCTTTGTTTAGATTTTTCTTTTTTTTTTTTTGAGACGGAATTTCACTCTTGTTACCCAGGCTGGAGTGCAGTGGCGTGATCTCGGCTCACCACAACCTCCGCCTCCTAGGTTCAGGCAATTCTCCTGTCTCAGCCTCCTGAGTAGCGGGGATTACCGGCGCGCACCACCATGCCCAGCTAATTTTTTGTATTTTCAGTGGAGACGGGGTTTCACCATGTTGACCAGGATGGTCTCGATCTCTTGACCTCGTGATCCACCTGCCTCGGCCTCCCAAAGTGCTGGGATTACAGGCTTGAGCCACCGCGCCCGGCCCCAGATTTTTCTCTAGTGTCCTTTTTCCAACCTTTCACAGAGAATGGTAATGTATTTATTTTTAATGTACTTGTTTAGGTGTCACAGTATATATACTTGTTTGGTGTCTTTATTTTGATACCATTTCAAACACAGGCAAGTTACAAACATAGAGTACAAGTAACTTTTCCATATCCTTTACCCAAATGTACCAATTATTTGCATTTTGTCCTGTTTGTTTTATTATCTACTATCTTTTTCTGTCTATATGTACTATATGTATATGTGTGTACTTAATTTTTGGTCCACTTGATTTATCAGTTTCTCAGATAGGTTAAAAATCTCCCACTATGGATGTGGTTCTGTTAATTTTTTTATATAACTCTAATGGTTTGTAGAGTTATATATTATCAAATGCATAGAATTTCTTCATTGTTATATGTTCTTTATAAATTTTGCCTTTAATCATGTTTTGAATTATAAGATTGCTTTACTAGCTTTCTTTTAGTGAATATTTAACAAGTATGTAACTTTTTCATCCCTTTATATTTCAACTTTTTTGTTATTTTGTTTTAGGATGTCTCTTGTAAGCAGCATATAGCTGGACTTTTTTTTTTTTTTAAACCAGTTTGATAGTATCTCTCTTTTGTAGGTGAATTGAATCCTTTCTTGTTTATTGTGGTCATTGGTGTATTTGAACATATTTCTTCCATCATGTATTTTCTGCTCATCACCCTTTTTCTTTGAGTCTTTCTCTTTGCTTTTGTATTGATTGAATTTGTTCTGATGGCTTAGAAACCATTGATTACAATTTTTTATTTAAATGACTACCCTTGATACTTTCTTTTATTGAAATTTTATTTTATATTTTTAAAATTGCAAAGATAGTACAAGCTTTTAACAAGTATAACTATCAAAATATGCATATGGAGAAAAAACATACACTCTCCTATGTCTCTCGTTCATTTTCATCCCACTAAAGCAGCAGTTCTTAACTGGGAGCAGTTTTGCCCCCCAAGGGGACATTCAGCAATTCTGGATACATTTTCTGTTGTCACAGTTGGGAATGGGGTACTCCTGGTATTTAGTTGGTAGAGGCCAGGTACGCTGTTAAATTCATACATTGTAGAGGACAAGGCTGACAACAGAGAATTTCTTGGCCTAAAATGTAAATAGTGACCAAGTTGAGAAGACCTGCCATAAAGTATTCAGTAATACTTATATTATTTTGCAATTCTTCTGTTACTTAAAACATAGCAGTAAAAACTTCTACAAGACTTACTTTGAGACATTCTTCTAACACATTTTATCCTTGCAACAAGCTTATAAGGTATGCACTTTCACAAAAAGAGCAACTTTTTATTAACATAGCTAGTAAGTGGAGAACTATGAATTGAAACTAGGCAGTCTGGTTTCACAAACCATCTTCTTCACACACTTAACAATATATCTATCATAAAGCATTCTATAAATTTGTAGATAAAAGTTTTTCCTATATTATTAATGTTTGTGTGTATATAAATATAGATATACTAGCAGTATATGTGTGTCTATGTGTTTATACATATATGTATAATATATACGTGTAGCATATACATGTATGTTTAAGTGTGTATTATATGTGTGTGTATCTTTTTACATAAACAAACTAAAAAAAAAAATACTTTCTATATACCAAGCCCTGAGAATACAGCAGTAAAGAACAGGGTCCCCGCCCTTATGAACCCAGAGTTCCTGAAATTTATATGCCACTAGGCTGAGACAGATATTAAATACAATAGTTCATGTAGTGATTAGGGCTATAAATAAAACTAAAGCAGGTTGAGAGTAGATGACATATCCTTCTCTCTTTATATCCTACTCTGATTAATGCCTAGTAGAAACTCCCTCAAGTGAGTTCGTGTGACTCTAAATCATTTTCTTTG